GTAATATCTTCAGTGGAGTTTAGAGCATGTCAGTGTCTGTTTATAAGAGCTTTAGGTTGGGTGTGTCAAGTGAGGGTCTTGTAATGGGTCAGGTATGAGTCATCAGTGAGAGGCTTGTGATGGGTCTTATGATGGAGAGGTTACATTAGGTCAGGGTCATTAGGATGTTAACTGCTGGTGGGGGGAGAGGGGGGCTTACATGGGTTGGTTGAGGGTTGCTGCTATCTCTGGTTGGCTGTGTGGTTGATTTGGATTCTGAGCAGTTTGTAGACTGTTGTAGGTCAATGTATCTGTTGATGGAATTGCTTATGGAGTGCCAGGTTTTGATGAACTCAGCATGATGATTTTAAGGTTGCTCTAATTGAACTGGTGTTGTTTGATGTCATTGTGGGTAGAGATTAAGGATTTGGGATCATGGCGTTTGACTGCCAGCTGGTGTCTCTGTAGGACAATGTAGATTAAAGGTCTCCTTCATGCAGAAATTCATACTATTATGAAGACCCTTAGGAGATGATTTCTTAATTGTGCTACAATGATGCATTACATGATCCTTATTTTTTCATATAGTGCATAGCTATATTAGAAAACTTATCATCACAAGATGTGCTGATGACTTTTTTTTCTTTTTCTTTTTAGAAATCCTGGCCTTTTTTTCTATTTAGTGCTCCCCTCAAAAGAAACCAGAATCACTTAGCTTCTTGTGGCAAGATGTTTGGTTTTTTTTTTTTTTTTTTTAAAAAGCACTAAAATAAGGGCTGAGCTTCTGGTAACATATCTATTTGAACAAACAAATAGGTGGATAAGCATCTTATTTAGCCTATAGATGTAGTTATGAGTTAAAAGATAAAAGCATCTAAAAGATAGAGTCAAATGCTGATTTTTTAAATGAATTCAAATCTAATACAAATCTTACCTCTGATATAAGTGGTTTACCATTTTTAAACCAACTATATGAAGTTTTTGGTTTACCACTTGCTTCACATTCCCAAACTAAACTTTCATAAAGAAAAACTTGTGTATTCTCAATGTTTTTGTTTCATTCTGGAACAGCTGTGGCAATGAAAAAACATTGTAACTATGTTATCCCAAGGTTTGGGCAGTGTAATCAATCAAATACATACATTGACATTAACATATATGTTTTTTTTAAAAAACCAGCCATATAGATTTTATAGAGGTTATTGGTGTATGAAACTCCACAATTTGAATATAAAAATAGATATTTTCCTTCTGTGATTCTTCTAACATTTTTGTCCTTTTCTCAATCTAATGCATCTGATACATCCATCATTCTGGCTTTGATCTAATTATCCTAATCTGAAATACTGACCAAGGAAATATTGCAAGTTTTCAAACATTATGACAATCAAAACACATCTTCCTTTTGGTTTAGTGTGTGGTATGAATTCAGCTATTGTTTCACTAAGTCATTATTAAACAAACTATGGGTTAGAGAGAAAAGAGAATCCAGACATAATATATAGTGCTACAGTAGATTCAAGTAGTCAAATATCTGAGTTCTTTAAAGTGATCATTACCTCTTTATATTAACTCTTATTTTCTTAATCTTCACTGATAGACAGTCTAAAATGGAATTTAAAGTTTCAACTCTCCAATAATTGTAATGAGCTCTTGATAATATCATGTGTGAAATAAATGTTTAAATATTTGCCCCCAAATATAACTAGCACTGTGTTTTTAACCAAATTAGTTTGCTCACCATATGTAAACAGTTGGCCCCGTGCAATATTGCTTCCCTGTACATTTCTTGCAATACATTCATAAAAATCTTTGTCTTCCTATTGAAAATCTGGGATCTCCAGGATTCCTTTCAATGTGCTGATTTTTTTGGCTAATGGGATACCATCAGATCTCTTCCAAATGATGCTGGGAACACGACTAAATGAATATGAGATATTAGAAAATATAGGAGCAGACAATCTAAAGCAATATTGCATTTTTTTTAACAGTGCAGTATTATCAACAGTTAAATACTGTAGAAATAATGTTGAATGAAAAATAGCTTATTGTTTGTTTTTAATATATGTTAGAGATAAAAAATAACTGATGAACATCTTGAGGAGCAATGATTCTAGCCTTTTTTGAAGAAATTCTAGTGACTGTAGAAGCCTGCTGTGCTTATATTGATGAGGATGATCCATCTTTCACCTTGTTGCTATTCAAAATAGAAGGAAAGTGCTACTGATTTAGCTGCATGCTTAAAAAATATTCCATCTTCCTTATTTATAGTAGTAGAGGTATTAACAGAAGAGCTGACATTATTATAACTTGATATATATACTGAATTTTGATGCTGTATTTTTTACAGATGCTGGAAAGACAATCTAGGGGGAAATGAATGTACACTATCCAACATAATCTTTTGATCCAGATTGTGTATCAGATTTGCAAACTGGAACAAATTGATGCTATGTAAAGTGGATTTGTTGCATCCATAGGGGTTGTCTTTATTAGATAATAACAAGAACAATGTTCTTGATGCAGAATATTATTTGGAAAGCAGTTTCTGCCTACGGTAGCCCCATGGCAAGATAGGCAGCAAATACATTTAATATAATAACAACAACAATAAGCATGCAATAGGGCAGACTGAAATTCAAGTATTTATTCACTGGACAGTTTCTCCCTTTCACCCACTTCACTCCCTCTCATGTGTCTTCCCCAAACCTGGAAATTCAAAACTGAGTGACTGATATCTTTCCATCAGATCATTTTGCAATTGTTATGAGGCAAAAAACAGGCCCAATGTGTGACCTCTGGTGTGTATCCAATTCTCAGAAACTTGAGTTGGGCTTAGAGTTACCATAGGTGCCATGAATTCTCCAGTACCATCTGGGAAAGTTGAAAGTTCCTCAAAATTAAAAGATACATCTGCCATCCCTGGGTGATGGAATTTAGCAGCTCAGGCAGAAATGCCATTGAACAAAAGGGAGTCCAGTATAGCATAAAGAAGCCCAACTGCTTCCTAGAGCTCATCTTAAAACCAGATGTTCTCATATCCAGGTGTCTGAAGCTCACAGCCTCTGAAACCATTGTTCTATAAATGAAAAGTGCCTCCCCACTCCGCTGCCTTAAGCTTGTGGCTTGTGTAAAACCTAAAACCCAGGTAGACATATCTCCAAAAAGTGAACCCTCTCTTCAGACCAACCCAGGCCTCAGTTTTACATGCCAGGTTAGTTGCCATATCCACAATTAAATCATGATCTTATTACATAACAATTTGGCATTCAATAACAAAGCCTGGAATCATAAAGAATCTGAAGACATGACTTTATGGATATTGCTTGAGGACTGGAGGCCAGGACAGGGCTTGACTCTGGCTCCCAGGATCCACCTAAGTGGCAAGTCCTCAGTGTCCCACCATTGGATATTGTAAACCATTCAGACAGCATATAAATTAATAAATCTCTTCCTTCCTATATCATGGCCATAATGAAACTGCCTGTCCTCTCTTTTACCTTTTGGTCCTCCACCCTCACTATTCCAATTTCAGGCCATAGAGCACATCTGGTTATCTCATTCTCTCCTGGTATTGTGTTGTGTTGTGTTTTGTTGTATCCTTCTCTTTTTCCCCACAACAGTCCTGTGAGGTAGGTTAAGGCTGAGAGACAGTGACAGGCCCAAAAATCACCCGGCTGGCTTTCATGGCTAAGAAGGGACTAGAATTCATGCCCTCTTGGTTTCTGCTATCACTGCTATCACCAAACTTACTCCCCCCGCTTTGGAGATTTTAAACATGTGTTGCAACTACTGTTTTAGAATTGTCAGTGATTTATATTGCTTGAAATGAAGACCATAATCCTCAAAACTGTATTATATTCCCAGCTGCATGTTTATCTTTCCTTAAAACTTCTGAATGAGACTAATTAGCCATAAATAGCACTGCTACAACACAATTTCCCAACTGTGGTTTTTAATATAACAATTTAAAATGAATTATTTTAGATGTTTATAAAATACATAGGGTGCTTGATTCATGCAATTATTTTAAGTATGGAAATGGGCCTCTTGAATTTGGACTTTGTTAAAGTTCCTTATCAGAGATTCTTGAGCTTACAACCATTTTTATGAATTGCTAAAGTACTAAAACAAAGGGGAAATGAAAAAATAAAAAGCAAGAAATAGAGACCCTCAATATTCTATATCGGACCTGGTCTTTTTAATATGTTCATTGATTATTTTAATTTAGGAGTAAGCTGGCCAAGTCTGCTGATAATAGCAAACTATTCAGGATGATGAAAACCAAAAATGATTGTGAAACACTTAAGAAAGATTTCTTTAAATTAGCTTATGGTCAAGCAAATTGCAGAAATGATTTAATTTAAACAAATGGAAGGTGATGTAACTTGGAGGAAAACCTATCCAATTCTCTAATTTCAGATATACGTAATTACAGCATAGACTGCCTATAACTAACCAAAGAAATGGGTCATAGTGGATACTTCTATGAAGATGTGCAGCAGATATAAAGAAGTTCTATTCTAGTGATAATTAAGAAACAGATTATGAATCAAAGGAGTAACACTATCATGCCCTTACACATTTTTGGGGGTGTATCAGTAACCAAAGTATTTACTAGAATTTTGATTGATATGCTTAAAAAAGGATATAATAGATCAGGAAAAAGTGCAGAAAAGGACAACAAAAAAAGTAGCGATTCAAATGTGAGAAACAAATTAGAAAGTTTGGGACTCTTTAGCTGAAAAAAAGTGATTGAGAGGAAACAAGATGAAAACATATAATATTTTGCAAGGCAAGAAGGAAGAGAGGATTTTCATATTTCTCTCAGAATACTAGGAAACTAATTGGAAGGAAATGTCGATCAGCCAAAATAAATATTTTTTTCCCAAAAATGTGTAAGTAATTTTTTTTACTCTAAGATATGATGATGGCAACTAGCTTTTTGACAGATTATGTGCAGTGGCAGCGGCATGGAGACACTGACTTCCCACTCGGAAGGTTGAAAGTTCAATCCTAGGCAGTGACAGATGTTTCTCTATCAGGGTGTAAAGAGAAAATATCTACTGTGAACTCTGCATAGGTGTCAGGAAGGGCATCCAGCCAGTAAATGCTCAGCTCCATTCAGTCACCCTGATGCCACTCTGATAAAAGGGATTACAGGGTCTTAAAAAGAAAAAAAAGTTGTTTGTTGCTTTTCATAATAATAGAAATAATAATAATAATGATAGAAATAATAATAATAATAATAATAATAATAATAATAATAATAATAATAATAATAATAATAATAATAATAATGTCTTTTCTCCATGAGGTTAGCGTGTATGGGTTAAAATTAAGGGAATGGCCTAACTAAGGTTCCATTCTTACTTCCATTTGTGGGGAACAATAGCAGGAGAGAGATGTATCTGTATATGCTGTCTATGTGTATTGATAAGCTAAAACAGGATTGCCTGACTTCTGCACTGCATGCCATCCCTACACTTGATTTACAGGTCTCTTCCAGACTGTTGTTACCGAACCTGCAAAATATAGGGGTGTTATGTAATTAACTAAATTGATTTTTTTTCCTTTTGGCCCTGCCTTTACTCCTTTTTTTTTTTTTGTCCATAACCCCTAACATACCAAGATCAGGTGCAACCTTTAGCTCCCAAATTACTGCACAACTTCAGACTGTACTGGGTTTGGTTAGATTCAGTTTGCAGCAAATGATATTATTCACCCCCATTCTCATATACAGTAACATCTTTTTTTATTGCAAATCTACTTAAGAATGAAGAGAGAGAGAGAGAGAGAGAGATCCTAAAAGCCTTGCTGCCTTTAATGAGAGCCACTGAAGGAATTGAGGAACCAGAGACCAACAGAGCTGAAGCTGCATTAAAGATAAGCTAACACTAATCCTTTCTCCAGGCAAGAAACAAGAAAGGTGAGACAGACTAGCTTGGAGAAGACCACACAAGCAAACTACCTCCAACTGATAGCATTTCAGAATAGATACAATATTCCATCTGAGCAGCTTATTGCAAATCAAAACATTTGAAAGCTGAAAATTACAAAATGCAAACCAAAAGCACAACATTGACAAGAAAAAAAGACTGTGTAGGCTTGGGAGAAGGCTGGTCCTGCTTTGCATTTTTATACCTTTTAATCTTTTTTTTATTTATGCCCCTAGATCAATGGACTTTATACAATAAAGTATCCCAGAATGAACAAGGAGATAAATACTTCTGGAGTTCTTGGCAATATCAGAAAACATAAACAGTACACTTTTTAATTTATTATGCCACAAGACTGGGAAATATTAATGGTCATTACATGGAAAGATTTTGTGCTGCAGCAAATGAAAATAATCTGCTTGACCATACCTAAAAGATGGGAAACATTTGGAACAGCTTTTCAAAGAGGTTTTCTGCCTATGGTTTACCATTGCTGCATACAATGTTATGGAAAGGTATGCAGTATTAACGTCAATATTTCAATTTGAGAAGCAAATATTTCATGATGACAACATTTGTTTCATTGATTGAAACACGTCTGTTGTTGAAAGAGAGGTTAGAAGAGTTCCATCTATGCCAGAATGTTATATCTTTTTTTAAAAAAACAACAAAACAAAAACCTATACACCAGATGTCAATATATTTCTGGCCATGATGCAAAATGTGATTCAGTAGATAAAAAGCTATATATATATTGTTATCTGCAACACTTAAAGATACATTATTCTAACTCATCTGAGTGCACTTAGCTATATATATTTTGTTATCTGCAACACTTAAAGATACATTATTCTAACTCATCTGAGTGCAGTGTGAGCTGTTATTGGGCTGAAGAAGTTGCACAGGGCTAAATAAAATGTAATTTGTGTTTTTTTCCCCTTGAAGTTCAGTGGTTCTCTCTCATTGTTCCTTCCAGCACTG